GAGTCTTTCACTGTCGTGGGGAAAGGTTCCATCAGCCAGCAGGAAGTGGGACACTACAGTGGTAAAACTAGACAAAAAAGACACTGCTTCAGTGTGTAAAGAGCCTGAAGAATCAGTGTGCAGGGTATTTTATTCTCTTTGGCTCACCTAAGCCCTACTGAGCTGCTCAGCCTCTGCCCCCCTACCCTGGCAGGAATGTCTCCCTCTTATGTTCACAAAGGTTGAGGAGGACACAGCACACAACCACCACGTAGGGGATGTTCTGCTCGCCAAGGGCAAGCCAGGTAAAGAGGCCTCAGAACCTACCTTTCAGACACCCAAAGATGCTCTCCACCACAATGCAGGCTCTGCTTAGCCTGGCAGTGAAGAGTTGCTTGGTGAGGTCAAGGTGTCCTGTATAGGGCTTCATCAGCCAGGGGAGCAGAGGTTAGGCTGCGTCCCCTACAATGCACATCGCCATGTCCACGTCCCTGACCCTGATGGTGCGGTTGGAGAAAAAAGTGCCAGCATGCAGCTACTGGAAGACGCTGAAGTTTCGGAAGAAGCGGGCGTTGTGCACCTTCCCCAACCATCCGACGTAGATGTCCATGAACTGGCTGCGGTCATTGACGAGGGCCAGCAGAACCATTGAAAAGTACCCTTTATGGTTGATATATTTGAATGCTCGGTGATCAGGGGCCCAGAAGGAGATAAAGAAGCCATCAATAGCCCCCCTGCATTTGGGGAAGTCCATGTTGGCAAAGCCGGTGACGATGAGGTCCACATTGCTCAGGTTGATGATCCTGCGCAGCAGGACGGTGTTGCTGACCCTCACCACCTATAGAAGGAGACACACAGAGAATCACAGGGTTTTCAGGGCCCTTGGGAGTTCCCGAGCCCAACCTCCCGCCGCACTCCACAAACCAGGAGCAATCGCAACTTGCCCAGCAGGGCTTTGTGAAGGTGGGACTGAAAACCTCCCGGGGCAGGGGCTTGCACCACCACCATGACCACCCTCCGCCTTCCCTAGGGAACCTCATTCCAGCAGTTCACCTTTCTGCTGGGACAACAGCACGAGAGTGCTATACCTGCATGACCATGGCTCCGACGGTCAATCTCCCCACTGATTCCCGATGGATTGGCAGCAGTCCGGCATGGCAAGCTTCCACATAGCAATGGTGACATGCTTCTGGAGGGGGACCATGGGTCTCATGTGGGTGTCCTGTCACCTGAGCGCAGGGGTGAGCCACTCACACAGTTCCATGAAGGTGTCCTTCCACATGCGGAAATTCTGGAGCTGGTCATCCCACTCCACAAAGATCTGTTACCAACGGTTGGAACTGGTGTCCAGTCGCCAGAAGCATCAGTGCACGATGTGCAGGGAAGGGCGGGAGGGGTAATGCTGCATGAGCAGCACCTGGAGAGAATTGAGGAGGCGCCCCACAATGAGCTGGGGACCATGCAGGGCTCTTCATCCAGGGCCATGAGGGCAGCCCACAGAAACTGCAGCACAAGGTGCAGCATTTGATATAAGAACCGTTGACTGCTTGGAGGCAGGTCCAGCTCCATGGCAGGAGTACTGTGGTGACTGCAAGGGCAACCACAGCAGGCAGAGAAAGGGCTTTGCTATCCCTCAAGGAGGTAGGCAAAGGAGAAGAGCTTGAGACATGGCTGTTCAGGGGGGCCCCTTTACGCTCAAGCCACAGCTACGGGAAGTGAGAGTTGTCCTGATGCCCTGCCTGAAGTGCTTCCAGGGGTCGGGGGAGAGAGGTGTTAAATGCAATTCAGTGTCCAATGAGTGTGGTCGCTCTATTTTGAAATAGCTCAGCACTATTTCAATAGGCATTTGCTCTGCAGATGCTCTATTTCAAAATAAGCTATTTCAGAGGGTTTTTTCCGAAATAGCTTATTCCAAAATAAGTGTGCGGTGTAGACATGCCCTAAGGACTCAATCCTAAAAAAATGATGCATCTGCTTGATTCTAAGCATGTACACAATTCTTTGAAGGTCTGAGGCTTAAATTCCATAAATACTACAAGGGGAGATTTTTAAAAAATGTGCATTCTCCCTTATGCAAAGAACTATACTTAAAAAGAGGTTAGCCGTATTATCATAGAAAGAAAAATCAAATAAAAACTGCTAAGCACCCTGTGCATATTCCAATATTAACAACAGAATGAAAGAAAAAAATATAACTTCTTTAGATGACACCACTGTTTATAATATACATTGAAAGAACAAACTTTCTCTGAGTTTAGGAACTAGATTTTCAGCGGTGTCAATGGATTTCAATGGAGCTATGCCAATTGACACCAGCTGACAATCTGGCACTAGATATTTCCATTTGCAGGCCATTTCTGATTATTTATCAACTCTCCAAACACAGAACAGAAAACTCCACACAGACACACAATATGTTCTTAAAGAATGGGAGTCTTTTATATATTCTTTCTTAAGACTTAAATTTCATTTTCACACAAGTAAACACAAGTAAACAAAGATCTGTTGACCAGCAAATGAGAAAGCCATGTTCAAACTCATCCATTCCAACACATAAAACATTCAGACAAGCAGTATCCTGAGTTTATTGCATTAGACCAGAGCTATTCAACACATGGCCGCATGCGTCCCACATCCCGTTGGTTTGAGGCCCGCGGTGTGCTTTGGGTTTACGTGGGGCTCAATACACAGCCCACGAGTGGGAGCCAAAACAAAAAAGGAGTCAATATAATGGTTTTCTGTTGATATGCATTTTAGTATTTAAATTCCTGAACTGTCATTGCTCATTAAAAGTGCTGTCATATGGGTGGAAATCGGGTAAATATTGCATTTTATTAATATCAGCAGAACTGACTTAAATGGGGCCCGTGTGTTGTGTAATCTTGCCTTAAACTTTGTATTCGTGCCCATCAGTGTGAAAGAAGCTATTTGCACATATATTTGTATATATATGCAACCATACTTAAGTTGTGGCCCTTGGCATGTGCTGTATCACTGTGGCCCCCGGGACTTCCAAAGCAGAGTAGCTCTGCATTAGACAATACTATCCCCTTATCCCAAAAGCTATCAATTAACAATGACCCTTCACCACTTCAATCCTTATGATAAAAAGAACTCATTTTAAATAAGAGTCAACTAAATTCAGCAAAAAAGATGGTCTCCTAAACTGACCATTTACTTTGGGAAAGTTCATAACCTCCCCCCATCTCCTTCTCTAGGAAGAGTCCCTAAGCGAGCATGAAAATAAAATGAGGCAAACTAACTAGCAGGGGGTTTAATACTACAAGTTTGACAAAGTGCAGGTTCCTTTAAATGTCTGAGAGAACAAAGGTTGGCTGAGTATTTCCTGACCTGTGTTAGCAGTAAACCTAGTGCACAAGAGCACACACTCCTCTAATTTCTAGAAGTGATGCACAGCCTCTCATACTCTCTCTTCACTCACTGTTCTCATTGTACACACTGCTCAGTATCTTGATAACCTATTTCTCAGAAGTAATATTTTCCAAAATTTTATCCTCTAACACAATGTGAGCACAAGGCAACCATTGCTACTTCCCTGCCCTTGAGCAATCCTGGGTACCAGGTACTTCTCCAGTAATTATTTTTTATTTATAAACACAGACATCTCAATCCTTTCTCAAACAGAATATATAAAAATGTGTATTTTATGTTTATACACATACACACACGTGCACACTCATGTGTGTCTGTGTATGTCTGTGTGTATAACCTAAAATGTACATAGCATGCCATTGCCATTAGTTGCTTGGCTTAAACTATTGGATCCAAACCTCAGCTAATATAGCCACAGTGATTTATATCTTCTGAGGCTCTCTCTCTTAATTCTCATTAGTGAAATCAATACAAAATTATGAAATAATAACAATTATAAACTGATTTTTTGTTGAAGCCCTGTAGCCTGGATATGCTTTTTGTCAGATTCATGCTTCATGATTCTATCTCCTACGAAAACCCCATAGCAAAGATTTCAGTGGTGTGGAAATCATCTTATGTGGGGGACAATAGCATACAAAATGTGTTGGCGAGCTTCAGCAGAGAAAAAAGCAAATTTGTAGGATTTCAATGAAAGTTGGCCTCAAGCTCCAATTGCACTCTAGAGGCTGATTTTACTCTTGAAGACAAAAACAGTGAAAGGGATCTAGAACAAATGTGCAATGCTCAGCCATCATATCAGTGGCCAATAATCTAAGAATTGACCTTGATTCTACTGACAATGATTGTTTGCAATTTGATTTAGATCACGGAACATAAGGCAGCTAAAGAAAGCACCAGTGAAGAAAATTGTAGATGGAAAATTATTTCTGTTACAACCTAAATAAGTAACAGGAGAATATTAACAAATGTTGATAGAGCTTTTCTTCTGTGGGGGATGTTTTTCTAAAAAATATGGAATTCTTTTCTAATATTTCAACAGCATCTTTGAGAAATCTGGACTCACTGGCTCAAAATATAGCAGAATAAATACTTTCTGTAATTTGATATTTAAAAGATTGGTCATACATTAAATTTATGATTTTATTAAAAAAATTATGCCTTGACATCTGGAAAACAATTCACATTATGAAAAGTGCCTATTTGTGCGTACTTTTTTTTTCCTTTCTGTGGAACACAATGCTGCTTTAACTATTCAATATTCTTTATCAGGCTTTCACTATTCCCAAGAACATTTCTCTACATTACAGCCACTCTAATTATCACATTAATTTTCTCAAAAACCAATGTGCAAAGGGAAAAAATGTACAGGGACAGACAGGTAACTTACCTCCTATCAGGACAAAAACATTGCCCCATAACACTGCACTCTAAGATTATTAATATATTGTAATGCACTGTATCTAGAAAAATTCAGTATGGCAATAAGACAAAAGCTTCATTTTCTTTTCTGTCATTGTATATTAGTTCCTCAAGTGTAGGATCTGCTGAACATGAGTGTGAAGGTGATGAACTACTTAAAAATCTATTTATGCTGTACAGATTACACTGGAACAGCCTCTACTTACCCCAAGTCCCCCACAAGGCAACAAGGAAAAGATTTTTTGAGATACGCTGCCTATATATTAAAGAGAAAAAACAACAATAAGCATAAAACTGGAAAAATAATCTTCATGAATTCAATCCTAATCTATTAATCTCAATAACAAGTCAACTAAAATACTGTTTGCAGTGTTGCTGAAGCCATGTTGGTCCCAATTTATTAGAGAGGGAAGGTAGGTGAGGTAATATCTTTTACTGAACCACCTTCTGCTCGTGAAAGTGATAAGCGTTTTAGTTTCTCTGAACACTTTTTCAGCTCTTCCTGCAGAAGAGATCTGCAGAGTTTGAAAGTTGTCTACTTTATTTACTGAAGTTAACAAACATATTAAAAGTTTAAAATAGCTCTGTGATTAGTACTGAAAATAACAAAATCAGATTTTGGATTTTGGGGTTAAATTTTGAAACACTAATAAAGCTGTTAATCTTCTTAGGTTGAGATTTCCAAAGGAATGGAAGTTAGGCACAAAAGCTCACTAAAATCTATGGGAATGCTGGTACCCTTAATGTTTCAAATAATTATAGTATGAGCTCATTTAAAGTATAATTATATAAGTTTATTAATAGCTTATAATTAACACAGATAACTGTATATTTCAGCAAAACTATATGAATTGATAGCATTACTATACAAAATGAAACAAACATAGAAACTACAGTCTAATTTATTACTTCCCTTAATTTACACACTATACCATGATATAATGACTCACTATATTGTTGATACTTAGGCAAATCTTTCCAGGAGAGCTGTGGAAGAAAACACTGATTTCTCCCACTGTACCACTGAACTAGTTTTGTAACTTCAACACAGGAAATACTAGATGGTGGATCAACTCAAACTGCCTAGGAACTAGCAACTTATTGCTGAGGAAAAGGCAAAAACTAGAGTTACTCATTTTAACCAGTATAAATGAAGTGTGTAATGAAGATTACAAGCTATAGTCTTTCAGCACTGAGAGACCAGACTGGACAGTTGGAAGAAAGAGTATTAGTCTGATAAGAGACAGAGCATATTGATCAGTTAACATAGGGTGAATATCATACAGGTACAGAGAGACTGAACAAAGCCCTCTGCGCCAATTTAAGAGTTCCTATGTGTTTATGCAAGGGACTGCATGTGTAGTAGCTGTACAGAATCTTCTCTCACAGTGTACCCTAGAGGGATGATTACCAGGGTAAATAGAGGCTCTGGGGAATGCCAGAAAGAGGATATGAAAGGAGGTCACCAGGTCATTTGCAATGCATATTCAATGGCTGATGGGGATGGCACTTTTTCACATTTTGCTGAGAAAATGATGGAAAAGTCTGAGAAAGGGCAATAAAAGTACAAAATTAAAAATAACAGATTTGAGGGGCTCTCAAAGTATTAGCAGGGTGACAAAATAAGTTTAGTGTGAGATAAAATAGGACATTTTGAAAACACTGTAGAACTAGAATTTTTTAAAATAAATCTAGTGGCTAACATAGAACATGAGAGAGAAAAGATGAATTCCCAGATATCTTAATGCTAGATGCATATCGGAAATGTCACAAAAAGAGAGCAGATGGTGAAGCAAGATGTATAAATCCATCAACAGATAGTGTTCAACACTGAAGTATCGACACAGGGGAAAATATGTACAAAGACTTTTCAACACATCAAGAAATTTACCAGAAACACACACTCCCTATTGCACAATCAACAGAGAAGCAGATAGCAAAGTGATAACAGAACAGGAAAAACATCAAGATCTCTTTGAAAGAACACTATGAGAAGATTTTGCTAAAAGGGAGTAGGATGGTCACCTAATGATCCACATAGCAATGAAAGAACCTCCAGCTTTCTGGACAAAAAAATAAAATAAAACAAAAAACCTATCAAATCCCAAAGCCTGCAGTAAACAATGACCAAAATGAGATAATTCAAGATGGCTATTTCCAAGGGACCGCATGCATCTCATTAGGATTCTATGTATGGCCCATGAGATGTTTTGTTTACAGTTACCCACCTGCAGCGTTGCAAGTTTCTGCTGGTTTCCATCTGCATGGTTTTTTCCTACCAGTTTTACTAAAGTGACATACATGTAAAGTAAGGGCATGTGAACTGAGGGTGCATGCTGATTGCATATAATATGACAGTGAGAGCTATGTGCTCCCTCTGCATCTAATCAAAGCACTGCTACGGTTAATCAGTGCAACACGCAAATTCTAACTATACAAGGGAAGTTAGCAAAACTACTCTTATCCCAGGAAGCTGTCTTGGTGGTGACAATCTTGCGGCCCTCTTAGATAAAAGAGGGCCACTTACGTGGCCCACTCAGTAGCCTAGGTTGCCCATTGATGATTCAAGAGGTCCTAATGATATTTGGAAATGATTCAAAAGTACTTGGCAAATACCTAGTGCCTCACTTTTTACAAAATGTATCAAAGATAAAAAAGGATTTGAATATGTCAGATAAGGTGGAAGGAAAGTAAAAATGTCACAGTAAATTCTTCAGCCTTGCATCAGGAGCGGTCTTGTAAGACTGGGAGTCAAACACTCGAAGAAAATGACCAGCAGGAGAAGATCTGAGATATAGGGTGTTATAGTGCTGTGGTCTATTAGTCACGGGTACAATACAGCACACAAATTAAAGGAATATTAAAATAGGAGAATCACTAAGACTCCCTTTGTTGATACAGAACACCACAAAGGAAAGGGTTCTCTGGTATACTCTCACTCAAAGGACATTGGAAAAGAGGGTGATTCAACACAGCAGTCCACATAGGTGCTGCAGTCTGTATGAGTAATTCAAAATACAGGATTCAGGCTTTGGTGAGCAAAAGAAGATACAACAGCAAAATATTACTTTGCAGAAAGATGGATAATTCAGTAATACTGTATGAAAGCTTGCAGAACACAAGGGAAATCTGGGGACCTTAGCTGTTTTCCAAAATTGACCCCCAAGATTGAAGATGGTACTGCTAAGTGATCTTATAGGAATGCATTAAAATTGTAACATAGTTACATGTGCTGTCTAAATGTATCTTTTTGTTCCACTTTAAATGAAACATATGATCTGACAGAATATTTTTTCACATTTACAAATCTGTGGTAATTGGAAACTTACTTTTTTGAAACATTTTCATAATGATGGTGGGAGAGAAAAAAATCACACTGGACTTGTAGGATCTAAATGGAACTGACTGATTGTTCTGCATTTGTGCTCATTAAAAGAGGTTTGAAATGGTGTAAACTGTCATATTAAACCATAATGTAATATGCCACACCATCTCCTGTATTAATTTGCATCACATCAACATGTAATGCAATATGTCATGTTGTTTAACACACTGCAGTGAAATACAGGTAATCAAAAGCATAACTTTTTATATAAGTGTAAAAAGTTACATAATTTGTAAAATGGTAACTTATATTAAATGAACTCCTAAGTCCTGATTCAGAAAAAAAAATGTAACTATGGGTACGGCTACACTGCACACTTATTTCAGAATAAGCTATTCCGGAAGAAATACTCTGAAATACAGGCAGTTCCCTGGGTTACGTACAAGATAGGGACTGTAGGTTTGTTCTTAAGTTGAATTTGTATGTAAGTCGGAACTGGTACATATTGTAGGGGAAACTTTAGCCAAACATTTCTCCAGAGCTCAGTTTTATTCTCCCACACATCACTTCCCTCAGTCCTTTATTCTCAAGCTGAGGTGTCTGCTGAGAAAAGCCGCTCTGCATCTCCCTGGTCTGCTGGGGGGAAGCAGCTAGTGCGGGGTTGCCTCACTCCGTTTGTAAGTAGGGATCCGATATAAGTCGGATCCATGTAACCCGGGGACTGCCTGTAGCTTATTTCGAAATAGTGCATCTACAATACAGGGAAGCTTCGAAATTAATCTGAGGCAGGATCGCTTTATGTGGATGCACTACCTCGATTTAGAGAGCTGGGAAGCAGTAGGGAGTAATTACTTTAAATGGCCCTGAGAAGTTATTTCGAAATAGCAGCAGTGGAGCATCCATACTACTGCTATTTCGAAATAGCTGTTTTAGAATAGGCATTATTCCTTGTGGAATGAGGTTTACAGAAGTCGGAATAAGCATTATTTTGAAATAACATAATGGCTGTGTAGACGTTCGCACTGGTATTTCAGAATAACGGCCGTTATTCCGAAATAACGCTGCTGTGTAAACGCACTCTGTGTATAAATCCAACCATATTCTTGCTTAATTATAACCACTTGCTTAAATCCAATTGATGTAATAGGACATAACTATATACCTTTTTGAAATATGCTTTCCCAAATATGCACGTTAATATGTAATTTTAAAATATGCACTTAATTAGAAAGTACTAAATTGCCTGTGCTACATTTACCCCATTTCCTGTAAGTCACTTTTAACACTAGTGCCCTAAAAGGTTTATTTTTTCTTTTTAATCTACAAAGAAAAGTTTGAATATTTCTGCATATAAAACAGTTTTGTGCAATATAAATCTACCAGGCCTACTATCAGCAGTGTTCCCCTGAAAAATGTCTACAATGTTATGCATATCTGCGTGCATGTTGTGTGGGGAACAAAAGAGTGTTTGATTTTGTCAACCTTTACTTTTCCTTTGAATGAACATATGAAGCAAGATTGTAGAACTGACCAAAAAATATCGACAGAAGAGTTTTCTGTCAAAAAATGCAGCTTTGTTGACTGAAATGCTTTGCAGGAATATATCAACCGCAATGAAATTTTCAATGGGAAATACCTCACTTAGATTTTATAATCTCAATTTATTTTGTTTTGACTTTTATATATTAACTATATTACAATATATTAAGTTTTGGAAGGATTACATTTTTAGCAGTGAATGTTAATTATGATTTAACTGTATGCCCACAAACTGATGAAAAAATGTTTTTATCAATAATATTTACAGCTAGGTAAAAAAACAAAAAAATGCTTGAGAACTTATTATAGTTGAATTAAGGATATTTACTTTGTATATTTTGACGTGATGTTGATGATTTGTGTTTTACTGGTGATAAAGCTATAGTTATTTTATTCTGAATATGTACCGTGATTAAATAATTATTGTCTGCCCCCCTTGTGTGACTCTCACCAAAATTTCCCAAAACGGTGAAAACATAAGTCAATAAAAATAAAGAAGCTTAGAATAAACACTGATATTAGTCATCAAAATTATAAAAAATAAAAATCAAATTCTGCAAAGCCTATTTATATTTTTTTAATATTGTGTGACTATAACATATTATAGTTAGTACAATATAAAAGTCAAATCAAAATTAATCAACATGATAAAGTCTAAATGAAATACACTTGAACCTCTGTAATCTGGGTGTTCCTAATCTGGGATCACCCGTGATTTATACCCTGGTCGAGGGAGGAGGAAGCAACTCTGCCCACTGCTGCTTTCCCTTCCCCCCGCACCTGGGGGAATGGCAATGCAGCGAAATGTTTCTCTAGCAGCTTTTTCCCTGCTGATCCCATAGCGGTGAAGTGGTGTCTGGGAGTGGTAGGGGAGATGGAGCCACATGTGCCTCTAGGAGTAAGCACCCCACCCTCATCCACCTCACGTATTCTCCCTCCCAGCTTGCCACATCTCAGCATGCTCCTGCATCTTCTCTTTATCCCTCCAAGACCCTTCTCTCCTACCTTGCTCAGTACTCTACCTTCCTTCACAGACCCAGTATGTATTACTGTCACATGTGAAATAAAAATCCTGTACTTTACAAAATGTTTTTATTTTCATCTTCAAACCAAAAAGTATACATGAACACCCCATGATCTGGAAAATTCCATAATCCACATCTTATTTCCCAAGGTTGCTGGATTACAGAGGTCCAAGTGTATTTTAAATCTGCCATGCCTTAAAACTTAGGTTTTTTTGAATTTTTGTTTTGTGAGAAATTTCAAAACTTTGGATTTCATTCCAATTTGGGCCCATTTCTCCCCAAATCTCATAATTTTCTGTGTCACAAATTCCAGTGTCTGACCAGCTCTATCATATTATCAGAGCTTTTGATTTTCGACATCCCATTGACCTTGCCTAATAAAAATAGAAATGCTCATATAAAGAACTGTGATCGTGTTTTTCTATTCTAGCGCTTCTTCAATATTCCTGAAGAAATTAATAGCATCCACAGTTTCCATAGCAAAATAACTGTTCTATTTTGGTTCAGTTGTGGAAATAATTACTAATGAATCTCTGAAGAAAAAAAAGGCTTCTGGAGGAAGGGGCATGTTATAAATACAAAGCTTCATGTCTTATGCTGGGTGAAATAAAAGTATCTAAGAACTCTAATGTGTATAGGGCAACGTTCACTGTTGAAGGCTTGTCAAGATACATTGCCTTTTCCACTATTTATCTGAGATTAGGCCCTAACCCTACTGATGCTCATATTAAAGTATATCATTAGTCCTGGCTATTGATCTTAAGGATTCTTGAGACACAACAGTGCTGATGGCTTGCTTTTATTTTGCATATCCATTAAACCATTTAATATTTTAAATATGATGATATTTTATTACAAAGATACTATATACTCTGTATACTGCAAAATAACACAAAGTTCAATTATCAGCAAAAACTTATGAATGGTATCTATAGTCAACATGGCTGAAATAGAGATTAAAATAAATAAAATGAATGAGAACAGCGGAAGAACAATTTTGACAAGCAAGTGTATTTTTAACTCTTATTTTTAGATCAATGACATAAAGAAATAGATCTATTACATTCCAAATTTCCATAGTTACTGACTACTGCTGGAAATTACATAAAGGGTTAACATTAAAATGATTTAAAAGCAAATGTGGGGAAACTTCTATTGCTGTTTTCCAACCAGTATATTTTACTAATCTATATTGGCTTCTATTGTAGCATTCTCGTTTCACTTAGCAATGCATTTGGAAAAAGTGAATTTTTGTCACACTGCTTGCCAAGTATTTTAAACTGACACCAGCTATGACTAATGATAGTGCTGGAATGTGCTGTTCTCAGTAGAATAGGGGCCTGTACAGACCTAGGAGTTTCCTGGGGTCCAGCTTCTGTCTGTTCAGGGGGCTGGTGCCATACAGCAGTGAATGATGTTCAGAGTGAACCAGCTGTATTTCCTCCAGACTGGCTTTTCGACCTCGAATTCGCTGAAAGAAAACAGCAGAGGCCTACAATATTCCACTGACAATATTTAGGGGGCAAAAAGTAAAGGGCCAAAATAACATTTAGTATGATTAATAATGGACTGAAATTGCATCATGCAGGAATGTGACAGTGATTTGTTTATTAACGTATACTAGATGAAAAACAAATGCATGTGGTTTATCACAAATGCTATGGGTTAAGTTAGCAAGATACAATATTTCACATAACAGAAAAAAAAAGAAGTCTCTCTCTCACTTTCTTGTAAGCCAGTAAGAGTTAGAAAACAAACATAGATGTGTTTTCTATAGTAACCAATCCATTTTGAATACCTCTGTATTAAAGAAAAGTTTATTCGCACCAGTAAGTCACTGATGAGTTTTTAAAATAAAAATCAGTGTGTTTTACGAGTGCCACTATTACTTACCACTGTATCAATTTATTCTTCCAGGAAAGAAAAAATAAAAGTAATACATTTTAAGTAAGCTAAAAGTACTTTTTTTTTTATTTAGGGTTGTTCCATAGTTTCATTCTGCCAGACTTGTATTCATTTGCTGTCTCTTTTTTTATTTTTTTATTGCTTCCTGGCCTATTATAACTGGCTTTGGCCCTTTAAATACTCCCCCAGCCTTTACCCTTCCCATACAGCATTGTTAAACTTCAAGGACTATTCTTCTGGCTCCATTAAAGTTCAGTCAGTTAAAAAAACTGTAAAAATAACACGTGCTTACTCAACAGATGTGCTCCCTCTGTGTATTTAATCACATTTGCTTACTACAGTGACATAAACAAGCATTTACTACTTTCTACTCCTGTCAGTATTGCACACAGACCATACAGCTACAGCAGAGTGAAATGGATTTTATTTGGGTTCATGCATAATCAGCAGAACAATATCTGTATTACTGTAGAAACAGAAAGAATACTTCCTAGGTTTTATTTGCAGTGTTGACAATTAGAAACAGCATGGGTCAAACCCTCAGCTGCTGCAAACGGTCATACCTCAGGCCAGGGATCTACACCCATCAAATATGGTCTGTATATAAGGAAAGAAATATAAAATTTACTGAGGGACAACACACGTGTAACCCACATGCTATTTCAATTTTCCAAAATATAAACCAGCACTTCCGAGTTTTGGGTAGCTTCTTTTGGATAAATTCCATCTTTCTAACATTCAATAGTCTATAAAACACACATAAGGAGCACAAATGCAATAATTATATACATGTGACGAGTGCGTGTTTCAAGAAAAACAGTCGTCTAGGATGGTCCAACCAGATTGGGCATAATTTATACTAAATTCAGTAGAGGCAATTTTTTCTGAATAATTAGAAAAAAAATCCTTAACAATTAGATCCTGGGGAATAGTCTCCCAAGGGAAATGGTGCCTAATTTAGCACTAGATTGGACACAGCAATGGAAAATAATTTTTAGGGACCAATCCATGGACCAAATGACTTAAGTTCTTTTTATCTCCAAGTTCTCCAGGCCTCTCCCAGTCTCTCATGAGACTTTGTAGCAGCACATTCACATCCTTTTGACAGTTCCACAGTCAAACTCAGCACATTATGTTTCTTAATGGCATCAAGATAATAATATTTTTCTTCAAAAGTGAGGTGACTGGTAACATTTGTTCATTCATCCAGTCTCTCTAAAAAAAATTATATATTTCTATTAATTGCTTCACAACATATGTACACAATTCTCTACAGAGATAGGGAGGGAGGGATAGTTCTTAGGTCAGCTGAAATATTTTTCTAATCAGATAAATAAACAGATGTAGTGTCAAATGAGTTTGGAACGGCTGCATTAGCTACAAGTGGCAAAGGCCCAAGTTCAATATGCAGGCCATCTCAAATAAGTGCCCGTATACCCTTTACACTACTTGTTCATACACTTTGATCACAGAGGGCACAACTATACTTACTAGAAGATCAACGCTCCAGAGGTCGATGTCCTGGCATTCGATTTAGCGGGTCTAGTATAGTATAAACCCTCTAAACTGAACACTGAGGGCAGCTCTCGCCAGCATCTGGTATTCCACCTTTTGTGAGGAGTAAGAGAAACTGATGGGAGCATTTGTTTCCATTGGCATCCCGCAGTGTGGACACTGCAAAGGCTTGGCTTAAGGTCATCTGACTCCAGCTATGCATTTTTCCTAGCTGGAGTTGCATACCTTAAGCTGATCTTCCTGGTCTAGTGTAGACCAGGCCATGAAGGGCTTGTCTGCATGAACATTTGGTTTGCAGAGTAAGTGCAGGTAGAAAGCCATCCACATCAATCTGCCTGCAAGAAGTGCTCATCTGAGTACTGCTATCACACACTAACAGTTCCTTAGTGCACTTTGATCTACTCCACTTTGGAATGGGACTAGACCATAGCAAACTGAAGAACTATGAGTGAGCATCAGCAATTACACATAGTTAGTGTACACAAGGTTAGTGCAAGGTAGATTTATGCCCCAAGTTGTTGCTAACTTAATATTCATGTAAACAAGCCCACAGTTTATACAAAAAACATTTCAGAAATATTTCAGTGGGTTAAGATTTTTTAATTGCTTTTAATTGTCATAACCTTTTGCCTGTAAAGCCAATTTCTGTAGTACGAAAACTACAGCTACTCAGGACTCCGTTCAGAACATGTCAGAATTTTCAGATCTAGTACATCAAGATCTACTAGGATAATATAAGTAAATACTGTAACCCCATTGTAAAATTTGGAGTTTCAGTTTTTCCAGTGGTGCAAAGTTCCTGTTTTCAGCCCTCATGAGCCACAAGACATCAGCTCACATAATATAGGCTTTCCTGTATTTTTAGGTATACACAATACATATTTATTTGTTGGGGGGCATAAATGGAGAAGTCTGAATATGTTCAAGGTCTGAAAAATGGCCAATGTCCTGATTAGTTCTGAGTTATCTAAGCCTTTGGTAAACTATAATAAAAGGCACAAAATCATGATAACCTTTTGTTAAGGAATTAGAAATACAGTAATGTAGTAAAACCAATGGATTACATTGGTTTGGTATTATGGAGAACTGAAAGGCCTCATAGATCTTCTTTAAGGGCAAACTTCTCCTCTCTGAACACAGTATTCTGCTTCACTACCATGGGTGGTTCTCTCAATGACATCAGCTTGGAGGCATTCATATGTCAGAAGAGTAAAATATTGAAACTGGGTAATGGGAAATGTAATTGGCTGGAGAGGCCTTCATTGTCTCCACTGTATTAAACTAAATATAACTGATAACAGGGATTAAACAATATGTATCATTGAAGTCTCTCAATATAAGCTTTTTAATTATTACAGCTAAAATCCATTAGTCTCTCTAATTTGCAAACAAAAGGTCTTCCTAGTTATTTTCCATTTTCCTGAGATCTCTAAGGGTGTGTCTATACTACATAGCTCCATGGAGCCATGTAGATTAGGCTGATCAGCAAAGGGAAATGAAGCCGTGATTTAAATAATCGTGGCTTCATTTAAATTTAAATGGCTGCCGTGCTGAGCCGACAAACAGCTGATCAGCTGTTTGCCGGCTCAGTGCACTAGTCTGAACGCTCCCGCGCCGACCTGAAAGCCCTTTATCGACCTCCCCGTTATGCCTCATAGGATGAGGTTTACCGGGGAGGTTGATAAAGGGCTTTCATGTCAGCAGGGGAGCGTACAGACTGCCCCAATCTGCCAACAAACAGCTGATCGGCAGAGCGGGGCAGCCATTTAAACAAACAGCTGATTAGCTGTTTGTCGGCTCAGCGCGGCAGCCATTTAAATTTAAATGAAGCCACGATTATTTAAATTGCGGTTTCATTTCCCTTTACCGATGGCTCCGTCGACGGAGGCATGTAGTTTAGACATACCCTAAGAGTGGTTAAATTCTCCCAATAACTTAATACACAAAAGGGACCTGTTACCCATTTAGTACATCAGGTCTCTCTCATATGTGTATCTTTCTCTTTAAAACACAGGCACACAAAGGCATATTCTTGCTGCCGTCTACATGCCTTAGTTTTCCTGGGTTTTGTGTTTTCTTTAGAGTTAAAATCTTCTAAGAAGAAGGAATCTTTTTTTTTTCAAAGTTCAATAAAAAGAATCTAGCTCCTTTAACTAAACTCTTTCTTCTCAATGGAAAGTTAAATCTCCTGAACTGGCCAACACACCCATATAATAAGGCAGCAGTAGAAGGCATAAAAGTTCACAATGTTATCTGCTCTGTGAGACCATGGCAGATCGCACTGTGAACTGAGAGAGCAGCTAGTACCAGGTCGGTGGCAGCAGGATATAAGAGGTGTCAGGAGGCTAAGCCTCCCAAAATAGGACAAGAAATACTGGTTGTGACAAACCTTCCTTTGGAGATATCAAGTCCTGACAGTTTTGAAACACTGCTGCTGGAGTCTCCCAAGAAGTGAGGGAAGTATCAGCACCCAGACCATAGCTCTGCCCGAAGGCCCTGATCCTACTTGGTTTCTTCCCCCATGACCCCACCCATGGTGTGCCTCTTTCCCCCAAGGCTCTGCCCTTGCTATGCCTCTTCTTGCCCCATGCTCTGCCTCTTCCTTTTAGACTCTCCTCCCTGCTGCTTACACCTCTCCCCCTTCACCCTTAAGGCAGCAGAGCCGGGGGCAGAAATGAGCAAGCATCAGGTGGGGGACTTCAAAGGAAGGGGCTGAGAGGAGTGTCTAGGGTGCATCAGTGGAGAAGAAGAATGGGTGAGCAGACTTATAGGAAGGGGAAGAGTGGGAGTGGGTCATCAAGGCAGAGTGAGGGCAGGACCTAAAGCCAGAGTGGAGAGCACAGCAATGGTCCGGACCAGTAGCCACCTCCACCCCACTTCTAGGGATGATTCAAGACTCATGCCAAGCCTCTCCAAACACAAGAGGTATGCACCGCTTATTTCTGAGTCACTACTCCCCATCTCATGCAAGCGGGAAAATAGCCTGAGCCTTGTCTCTACCCTCTTCCCCACCCCCACTCAGCATGCTCCAGGCAGTGCAGCTAAGCCCAT